GAATAGGGAACAGGGAATGTACCTGTCTTTCAAAGATCACAGCACATTGCTGTACTTAAATAACCAATTAAATGATAATGTTATGCAATAATTATTGTTTCACGAATATACCAGCATTGGAGTCTTATTAACAAATGTAAAGACACAAATTAAACCGCTCAAGGCGACTGTATAATTGCCATGGTATTAGGTACGCATTAATTTGTTAACGTTAATGTCACAAATAATAAGTGTTATAACAACAAATTTTTGAAATACTATCATTAACCTTAAAAGTACTTCCGTTGTGTGATTGAATATCATGATCTAATGATTTAAGTACCTCACAAAGGCCAAATGACGAGACATATCTATTGGTGAAATGAATATCTTGAAAATTAAGTGTAGGAAAAGGGCGAGACATATCTACGAATATTGGTGATATCAAAACTTTCAGTGCAAATATCTGCAGAACGGAGTGTCGGAAAAGGTACCCTCAAAAGGAGAAACATATACTATGTTGTCTGTGCTGTAAGGAACCTTTTAACAAAATTATCAATCAATAGCAATAATTGGAAAGAAAGTTTATTACGATCAATATGATAAAAAGGTTATGACTGCATCTCTGTACCTAATGGAGACATGTGTGAATACAGAAAAATTTTGTTGTGAAATGATGTATTGTTTAAAAGATATAACTTTTTAGTTGTTCATGGTTGATGAATTCGAAAAACGAAAAAAATTCTTGAAAATGGCCCCAACTGTATTTAATTAACTTCCGTATATAAAACCGCTTTTCTACGTCTCCGTATATCGTACACAAATTATTTGAGCTGCAGAAACTTCTCTGGGAAGGATAAAAAAAGATTTTGAAAAACGTGCTACGGTATTTTCCCAGTGAAGAAGTGTTAATTTTTATGTCAACACCATATTAATTAATTTTCACTATAAAATACACATAAACGCAACAAAGTATTACCCAATAAATTATACCTAAGGTCCTCGTACCTACTTTGGACATAATGATGTAAACGAATGATGACAAGTAAACTCGTTTATTACCATCTTTCAGTAAATAACTATCATCAGTTATCCAGAGATTTAAACACTAAGTAGTAACCAACAAGGACACAAGGCCTTGTCATGTGTAAAGTACGCAGAGGATCATCATTGCGTGACACAACAAGTGAAAATCATATATTATTAAAAAAATTACGGAAAAATACGACTTCACCTAATTTTCTTCATATATGCAAGAAAGTATGTCAAAACAAAAATGATTCGTGTAAGCGTGATGTAATTACGACAATTATGCTCAAATATTGAATAATTGCTTTTTGAAAAAATGGATTGGACTATTGTCAGTCATAGTGTTGTAAATATATTAATTAGGTGTGAAATTGGTAAATAGCGCCCGCTATTGTATTCTTTTGGTTTTTGAATAATTTCTTGCAATTTTTAGGTCTATCGTTGAACAATTTTTAAACAGGCTATAATTCACCAAAGGTTTTAATAAGCTGTATTATATTTATTCCTTATTGTATAGTCACGGATTTTGATAGTATCGTGGGATTTCATGACGCGCAAGTAATAAAATTAAACAAATAAACGCCCTTTTTAATGGATAATAATTATAAGCACTTTAATTCAATTAAAATTGTATGAAATTGACATAAAAAGCTCACTGGAGTTTGGTTGTTTTTGGTTTTGGTTGGATTATACAGTGATATTTATTAAGAAATTGACATAGGGATTTATGTGTATTATTTTTCCCTATGTCTACTTTTAAAAGACAAAGTCCATCTCTCTGAAGGCGCCTAATTTTATGCATCCAAAAGCAAATAAACATCTGGCTGTCATATTAATTAGTTTGAATATTGTTGCTTTGGCTTAACAGAAAATAAATCTCTTACGCTCCTTAAACTGTTACCGGCACTATACGAATTGTCAATATCAACTTTTTCTTGAGTTGAATAAATCGCACACGAACGAAAATAAAAATACGAAAGTAAAAACAAGACTATTAAAAGTGATTAATATGACTTCCAGATCTGTTTAAGAAGTTATTTTGGTTGCATAAAATTAGGGGCCCTTCAGAAGAGATTTTGTCATTTAAAACAATACACACAAATCCTTATGTCTACTTCTTAATAAATATAACTGTATAATATACCGTTGGAAAATAGTATAATTTAAAACAAACGAAAGCTGGAACACATTTTTGAACCAATCAATTGAAATTGGGATCACAAATTTGCAAATTTGAAGTATTCTCTCCATGGATCAACAATATGTATTCCCACTTTCTTCGGTAGATAGCTACTTCCACAAATGAAGCATATTATGTCAGACGAGATGTTCAGTATGATATTAACATTTTCTAATTATACAAAAAAAATTAAAGGACCATACTACATAAGTGAAAGATTAATCCATATTTTAAAAGTTGTTTTAGGTAAATTTTAATTAATCTAAGTGTACAAGGCAGTAAAAAAATACAAAGTTGCAGCAAACGCAACAAATTTGCATCAGCTAGGTGCTTATATTTTCATTATTTCTAACACGAATTTCCTTGTAAGGGGCAAAAAATATTTGTGACAATAACAATGTATTAATGCCAATGCGTAATACTATGGCCTAATTGCAAGTTTAATTTTTATCTTCGGTTTAGTGCATGTCGGTCTGTTCGTTAAACGATAATTATCGTTATCACGTAATTGTTAATTAAAATACAACAACGTACCTTGACTCACCCCCGTACTCCAGCTATCTCGATTTTAAAATTATGATCGAACGAAAGTTCAAGTGACCTTGCAGTTCTGAGGACCAAGAAGATGTGATCAGGATCGTGCTCAAAAATGGGTTGTTGGTACTTGTAAAATCAGCTCTGGTGCCACTCTTTCAGCTTCAGCGTTTGACCGTTTCTCTTCATTTTAGAGGTAAGATTTCGAAGAAAAGCAGAGGTGTCCCAAAGAAGAGACGCAGTCAAAAAGAACCAGGGATATTCGAGATGAAGAAGCAACCCTGCGGGTTATGGCAACATGCCATCTTGGACATGTAAATGTATTGTCTACAACGAGCAATGTATCTAACAAAGACCACACCAAAGACAACAGAAGCTCTTGTTACTGTAAAACAAAGGTTCAAGTGTTTGCCAGAGACCGAGAAACGCGACCCCATGGGGTCATTGTATTTTTACTCTCTTTCAAAGTCTTAAAAGTTTAGTTGATTCTTTTGAGGCTAGCTACACCACTGTACAATCCCCACTATGCCAAATTGCTGAGACATGTGATCCTTTGAGCCGGATTCATTATAACTAAATCTTCGCTAATCAAACTAAAAATGCGCGCTCAAATTACAATAATCACATCGTAAGGTTAAGCTAGATTCAAATGTTCAGGGTCAATTTTCGATCACTTCTATCATTGAGTGTTTTTATTCAATGCTTCTATGCAAAGTTGTTTACATGGGAATTGATTGCCAGACAAGTGTAACGAATGGTGGGTGCTTAATAATGCAAATTTTATTTTTAACCCTTTTACGAATCTCGAATTATCGGTCCCGATGGGAGCAGACTTTTTTATTTGTGTAATACCACTGTAATAAAACTAGGTACCTAAAGACACAATGAGAGATTACATATAAGTGCCGATTATTTTTTATTTAAATAATCTTTAGGTGTAAATGATCCCACGTATTGTATTCTTTGACTGCAGTAAAAATAAATGAGGCTGAGGTTAATGTCACTAAATTTTTGAAAAAGATCATCTGTAGTTTGAACAATTTCACCAAATAACCAAATGGTAGCGAATAGGATAGGTGGGAGGGCCTAAGGGTTTCCCGTTCGGAAAAAAAGCTCATTGATTTTTACCACCCGCACGTTAGTAAGGGAGGTATCGCATTGGGCTCAAAAATGACCCTCCATCTTTCTTAACGGAAATACACGTTTTAGAGCACCAGGAATCAATTTTTACTGGGTGAAATCGCATGTTAGTATAGATCAAAATGAAAAAGTGGATAGACTGGCAAAGCAGGCAATCGAAAGTGGTACTATATACAGTAATAGAATCACCGCAAGAGATGCATTAGCATATTACAAAAAACAAATACTAAATGATCTATGGTAAGAACGGTGGGAAAACTCATACAAGGAAAAAAGCACACAGTATGCAAATATTCACCCATACTTACTTAAGGAACACTGGTCCAACAACTATACAGTTAGTAGACAGTATTCTACTACGATAACAAGATTAAAATTTGGACACGGACAATTTCCAGCTCATCTATTTAGAATTGGAGTATTGGAATCACCAAACTGTACGTGTGGAGATGAAATAGGCGATTTGAACCACATCTTTTTTAATTGCAGAAACCACATCGAATTAACCAATATGCTAATTCGAAGTATAACCCGATTAAAAGTCCCATTACCTACAAATATAGAAACATTATTATCTACTGACAACAAAAAGATTTACGATCTACTTATTGAAATGCTTATAGCCACCAAGACTACAATATAATTACATTGTAAAATAAAAAGTCAAAGTCCTAATTCATTTGTTCCCTTATTGTTACAACCGTGGTCACCCTTGTTGTGTTTAATAGTCTCCATGAAAGACCGCATGGAGTGAAGCGAGTGAACCCTGTGAATTAATCCAACAGTTTAGATGAAATAGGTATATACTTCTCTGCGGCCAAATGGGCATAGATCCCAATAGGGCTGAAAAAAAAAAAAAATCCGAATCAAACAAAATCTCGATTATGTCGATCGGTCTGTATGTCTGTACTCGCAGTACTCTCACTTCCGGCTAAACGGTTGAACCGATTTAAACCAAATTTGGTACACAAGTTCTTAGACATAAAAGGGCGGAATCGCGCATGGCTTGCAGGTAGTATCTGTGGTAGCCACAACAAATTTTTAGGTTTAGTCTAGTCTAGTTCAGTTGAATGAATTTTGAAATGCTTATTGTAATTATAGTTGTTTATTTATCAGTAAAGGTATCTTTTTCTTTCAGCAAAAAAACTCATCCTTAAGGGCGTTTCCGGAAAGTTCAAATCTGGCGAACTAACTGCAATAATGGGACCCTCGGGTGCTGGAAAAACGTCTCTATTGAACATACTGACCGGCTTCCAGTAAGTGAAATCAAATGTACCTATACTAATTTTAGTTGTCCCTGACTTAGGTTAAAAGTAAAAGCCGAAATAAAAATGCCTCACATGGGTTTAGAATGCCATGAGCAATTTAGGACATTCGTGTTTTATTAAAAAATATACGATTGGTGTTGCATAAACGTTGCCCAAAAAGCAAATCGTAATTTTGTTAGAAATTATTTATTAGTCAAATATCGCGCAACTGAAAGCACATTTATTTTGCCTCAAGGTAAACGACCGACCTATCAAAATGTTTACGAAAATTAGCACCGACAATGTAAAGTAGTTAATTTACATTGTTAATAATTGTAATTAATGTACCATTTTAACAAATTCGGCGGTATTTCGTAGTGCGAAAATTATGCAAAAGTGTGTAGTAAATTAAAGAAACACCTAGGTGTATATTGCAATCCACATTCCCCGTGTTTCATATACAAAACATTCTCCCACACCGAATATTTATGTGCAATTTTCTTAAAATGTTGTTGTCACTTATAGTAGGTATCTCGCGAATGTTTTGGTCGCAATCAAAATATTACGAAATATAAATGCAACCAACTATTTCGAAAATACTCCCATTACAATCTTGAAAACAAAACAAGGACATCCTTATCATCAAAGGCGTAAACTATCCGTCTAAAATATTTGCCAAGAAACAAGGCCATGCGGTAATGCTTGTAATGGACACGACGAGGAAGGATAGAAAGAAATGCAAGTTTATCGTAACCCTGCCCAAAAGTTTTCTCTAGTTCAGACGAGTTTTTAATTATTTTTGATTTTTTGTAGAATTGGATACGCAATGTAAAACAAGATTACGAAGAATCGCATACGATTTTCAGTAGGGGAATTTTTTGTCTACTCATCTCTCATTCAGAAACCAGACTTTTAATCCGGCTCATATTCACTAGCACTGATACTTGAGCTTTTAGAAATCGATCGGCGAAAGTTTGACATCGCTATCTTTTTTTAGTTAGGCGAGGAACAGACGAACAGAACCATCACATAAGGGGAATTTTTCGAAACCCCTAAAAACCAATGCAAATGATGGTAACGAACTGCTAAGTGTACCGAAACTGTCCAGGGCCATCGAGATCATTGAAATACGTAAAGTTGGTAATAATAATTAAAGTGCATTCAAACCCCGTTATTCTAACTGGTTTCGCAGACTCTCGGCCAGTGGGCAGTGATTATTTAAGGTCGCAGATTTAGTACCAGTAGACTAGACTCAAATCATTTCACTTTTCAACTACTTGCCTATAAATCTACATAAACCAATGAAGGTGAAGGTTACTCTTTGCGTACTCAAAGAAAGTGAGAGTGAATGAAAATAGTTACATAAATGAGGACGTTTCATTACCTACGTAGTTAAATTTATATGCTTTATTGAGGTACCTAATTCGAATAAATATGTATAATTTGATAGATAAATTGCAATGCATATCGTTTTGTTATAATACTTTTAGCATATATTAACATATTGTAAATTATTTACACTATGCTATGTATTGTGAGCCAAATGAAATAGGTATATAAGAATTCATTGTTTTTTCTAAAACAATTGGGGACGATATTATAATAATAATAATAATAATATATTTATCCAAAAGATCCTAAACGGATATAGGACAAGTCAAAGGCCAAACAATATGATTATACATACAACTACAACAAAATTTAAGGTTCTAAATCAATATTAACATAAGACATAAATTCATTAACACTATAGAAACAATTTACAGTTAAAAATTTTTTGAGTGTTAAACTAAAACGCCTGAACGGAAAATTTCTAAGATTCAGCGGTAATTTGTTATATAAAACCACACCAGCATAATAGGGATTCATTTTAAATAGTTCTATTCGATGTTTCGTATACGACAATTCGATACCTCGTCTAGTATTATAGTTATGGTATGTATTTAAAGAGGGAAATTGGTTAATATTGCATTTAACAAATTTCAACAGTTCAAATATATAGATACACGGAAAAGTTAACAAAGCGTTAGATATAAAAGTACTACGGCATGATGTGTCCCTACTTAAATTAAACATGTATCTGATTGCTCTTTTCTGCATCAGAAAGACTCGTTTGCTATGTATACTGTCACCCCAGAAAATGATACAGTAGTGCATGATAGACTCAACATTGGAGTGGTAAAAATTTTTTGCTACATTAACATTTGAAATATATGACAGACGTTTAAGAGCAAAGCAATTAGACGTTATTTTATTGCACACCATATCAACGTGCTCTCTCCAGCTTAGAGAACAATCAATGTTACAGCCTAGTAGTTTGTACAATGTTTCTTGCCTAATGGATCTTTGTTGTACTCTAATCAGAGTACTTGCAATATATTGCACTTTTTTAGGGTAAATTTGCATTACACGTGTTTTATCACTACTCAAGATTAGCTTGTTGGTAATTAAATATGACATTAACTTAGTAAGACAAGCATTTATATTATTTAAAGCCACATTATGAGTATTGCCACAGGGCAGTACCGTTAGATCATCGGCAAACAGACAAAAGTCACCGTTTATGTATTTTGTAATGTCATTAATATATAGCAGAAATAATAAGGGCCCCAACACGCTCCCTTGTGGTACTCCCATTTCTACATCTAAACACTGCGAACTGCTATCTAAATAGTGAACATATTGTTTCCTATTACATAAGTAGGATTTAATTAAATTAAAACAATTTCCCCTTAAACCTAACGTTAAAACTTTATTTAATAAAAACTGGTGATCGACTAGGTCGAAAGCTTTTTTTAAATCAACAAAGAGAGCTAACACGATGTTACCCTTATCCAAGTTTGTGTACACTTTATTAAGTATGGATGCTACTGCTGTTGTCGTGGAGTGATTCCTTCTAAAGCCGTGTTGTTCATCAACAAGTAACTTGTATCGCTCAAGAAAGGTAATTATTCGATCATTTAAAATTTTTTCTATAACCTTAGAGAACACAGAGACTAGAGATATTGGACGATAGTTACTCAAGTTTTGTTTATCACATTTTTTATGTACACATCTCACTTTTGACAACTTAAGTTGCTCTGGAAAGACGCCACTTTGGAAACACACGTTCACAATGTAACACAGGGGTTTACAAATTTCATTTACACAACGTTTAAGTAATTTAGATGGAAACTTATCACTACCAGAGGAGTTTGTACTTTTAGTGGTATTGATGGCACTCCTAATTTCGGATTCACTTACTTCACACAGATATATGGAATTGGTAGCAGCATTATCCGATTTTTCCATGGACGATACATCAGTATTAAATATTGATTTAGCAGAGTTGATAAAGTAGTGGTTGAAAGCATTTGCAATGTCAACATTATCACTGCATAATTTACCATCGACTCGTAGAGATGCTGTACTGTCGGCAGATCGATTCCTGACATTATTTTTTATAATATTCCACACAGTTCGAGATTTATTAACCGATTTATTTATTCTGTCTTCAATATGCATTTGCTTCGAAGTACGCAGTAGCGACCTGTATATTCGTTTATAATTTTTGTAGTATTCATCTGTTATTAGATTATTGTGACGCAAGAAAAAGAGGTCTTTTAATTTTATGGCAGATGATTTTAGCCCTGTGGTTAACCACTGTTGACGCTTTGCGGTTTTATTAAAGGCAGCTGCTTTAAAGCTACGATTAAAGTGGTAGTATATACCATCAAATAATATTTTAAACACAGAATTAGGATCCTGTGTGGTGTAAACACGTGCCCAGTCTTCAATGGCTAAGCAATTTCTAAAGTGTTGTATACCACGCTCAGAAAAGGAAAGCATTCGTACTGGTGAAGAAATCTTCTTTGGATTAACAGGAAAGCAAATCTGCAAAGCGCTGTGATCAGAGATTCCATAATGCAAAATTTGTTTATGTAGTAGCTGATCTTTGAAATTTGTAAATATATAGTCTATGCACGACAATCTTTTATGGATTCTGGTTGCTTCTTGGAATATAGACTGAAAGCCATACGAGCCAATTATAGCAAATAGTTTTGTTGATGTATTATTTATCAGAAATGAGTCAATGTTAAAGTCACCACCGATGATGGTTTTTGATACGTGATGCTTATTAGTTAACATCTCTAGACAATGTTCCAATCTTGAAAAAAATATATTAATGTCGGAGCTTGGTGGCCTGTAGATGGAAAGTATGAATATAATTTCATTTTGAAGAAGCAATTTGATAGCGCAACATTCAAAAATACGCTCAGTTGTAAGATTAACAAAATCGAGAAGATTATACGCCCGTAAACCTTCTTTAACTAAAATCATGACCCCACCATGTAAATACATAGTGCGATTGTAGTAGCTCAGTACGTTATACTTTTCAATAGATAGATTATCAATCTCCTTATCGGTGAACCAACTTTCGCATAAGCAGAGTACGTCAATATTTACTGCTTTCCATTTGAGTGCGTGAAGCTCTGGTGCAGTTCGTTCGGAGCAGCTCATTTTGCAAGTTGTTCATTTTTAACACATTTGAATTGACATTCACAGTACGTAAATAACCACAAAAGTGTTACAAGCCCCAAGCAAATAGGTGGTGCATGAGGGGACAAGGGAAACCAATTTCGGGCGCGTCAGAGCTCGAAGCTTTCTTAAAAGGAACACAGGGCATCGTGCACGGTACAGCTTAGAGCTCCTCTTTCACTCAAATGGAAAGCAGTAATTGTTTACATGCAGGAACACTTCTATCAAATCTAACTTGTTTTTAAGGCTTTGCACGTTCAAGACTACTACATTTAGGTAACAATCTTGTTGTTCATTAGCCTGAATAAAAAATGGTTCATTTTAACTCCTTTTGGCCAAAGATCAGGTTTTTTGAGCTCCTCAAATTGCGAACTTAACACTGATACTTTGAAGGAACTATATTCATTTGGACGCCTAGAGTTTAATTTTTCGCACACCGCATTCTCAAAGTTGTTGTTTAATAGATGCTGCTTGATCTGTTCGGTAGTAAC